ACAACTTGAAGAAGTAAACAATATGAAAGATGGTGTGGCTAACTATTTTGAGACACTGTTTAAAGAAGATGTGTGGCAACGCCCAGTCTTAGATGGGATTGAATTCAAGAAGATTTCAGATGAGGAGAGGGCGATGTTGGAAGCACCATTTAGTGAGGAGGAAGTCAGACAAGCTATGTGGAGTTGTGAGAGTACGAAAGCACCAGGACCCGATGGATTCAACTTCAAATTTGCCAAGGAGATGTGGGGATCACTTAAGGAAGATGTAATGGGATATGTATCTGATTTTCACAAGCATGGCAAACTGGTTAGAGGGATGAATAGCTCCTTCATTGTATCAGTCCCTAAAGTCAATAGCCCACAAAAAATCGAAGAATTCAGACCAATCTCCCTAGTTGGTGTCATGTACAAACTGATTGCAAAATTGTTAGCACGTAGGTTGTCTTCTGTCTTGAATGGGATTATTGGGGAGAATCAGATGGCTTTTGTCGGTGGAAGGCAATTAGTTGACAATGTGGTCATCGCAAATGAGATTATTGATGAAGCCTAGAAAAGAAAGTAGAAAGGGTTTGTGTTTAAAGCTGACTTTGAAAAAGTTTATGACAAAGTCTGCTGGGAATTCTTGGATTATATGATGCTTAGATTGGGGTTTGGTCAAAAATGGAAAAACTGGATTAATGAATGTTTGAAGACAGCAGAAGTCTCAGTACTACTAAATGGCAGCACCACCAGGCAGTTTAAGATGCAAAGAGGTCTCAGACAAGGTGACCCTCTCTCCCCTTTCTTGTTTTTGATTGTGGCTGAAGGTCTTAATGGCATCATCTCTGCAGCTGCGTCATTGGGGTTGTTTAATGGGATTGAAATTGGGCAGTGTGGCATGAATGTAACCCATCTCCAGTTTGCGGATGACACAATTGTGTTTGGTAATGCTTCGGAAGAAAATATTTGGGCTATTAAAAGCATTATGAGGATTTTTGAGATGGTTTCTGGGCTTAAGATTAACTTTGGAAAAAGTTTGCTTATGGGCATCAATGTTTTGGAGGAATGGATGTCTAGGATGTCCTGTATTTTGAATTGTAAACAGGGGAAATTACCTTGCAAATACCTAGGTATGCCGATTGGGGGTAAACGCAGATGTATTGCCATGTGGAGACCCATGATTGATTCCTTTAACAAGAAACTTGCCAGCTGGAAAAATAGATTTATCTCTCTTGGTGGAAGGATCATGCTCCTTAACTCCGTGCTGTCTAGCCTCCCTGTGTTCACGATGTCTATCCACTTGCTGCCTAAAGGTTTGATTCTTTTACTCGATAGAATACGTAGAAATTTTCTTTGGGGGGGTGGAGCGAATAATAGGAAGATCAATTGGGTTTGTTGGGAAAATGTGTGTAGAAGTAAATTGGATGGTGGGTTAGGTGTGAAGGATCTTAGAAAGTTTAATTTAGCGTTGTTAGGCAAGTGGTGGAGTAGACTGGCGGAGGGTGAGGAAGGTCTTCTGTATAGGGTTATTCGTGAGAAATATGGTTGTAGTGGAGGTAATTGGTTGAATTGGATTGAAGATGGCAACCATAAGGGGTCCTTATGGTGGAGGGATGTCTATCGATTAGATTATTCGTGCACAAGTAGAGTTGGCTGGCTCGTAGATGGCTTTAAACTAAAGTTGGGAGAGGGTAATTTTGTCAAATTTTGGAAGGATGTCTGGATTGGGGACGAGTCACTAGCTAACAAATTTCCTAGACTCTTTTTGAACTCTTTAGGCAGAACAAAGAGTATTTCTCAAATGGGATTCTGGAGCAATGGAAGCTGGAATTGGTCATTAGAATGGAGGAGGCCTTTCTTCTCCTAGGAGGAACACTCGATGGCGGAGCTATGGAGGATGTTGCAGTCTATCCAACCAATTAAGGGACAAAAGGATCAATGGGAGTGGAGGCATGATCAGGGGATTTATTCAGCTAAATCGGGATATCAAGCTCTTTCCAGTAACCACCAACAGAGTAGGATCATCTTGCATAAAAGAATTTGGTGCAAGCTAGTCCCCACAAAAATATGCACCTTTGTTTGGAAAGTCCTACAAGATAGAATACCCTCCAAGGTGAATCTGTACAAGAGAGGGATTGTTTCAGATATCCATCTAGCTACATGCATGTTATGCAATGAGAGTATTGAAGATACAAATCATCTATTTCTTCATTGCAAGTTTGCATATGCAGTGTGGTCCAAATGTCTCCAATGGTGGAGAATTTCATCTGTTAGAGCTGACAATTGCTATGCATCTTTTGAACAACAATTAGCCTCCTTTAAAGATGTAAATATCAGGGTTGGTTGGGATGCAGTCTGGTGTGCAACAATTTGGTCTATATGGATAGCTAGAAACGAAAGGGCTTTCAGAAACCATGAGCAAGATTTCAATAGGATCTTTGAGCTGGTGCAATTGCGGACATTCCAATGGATCAAAAACAGAACAGTAGGGTACTCTTTTAATCTATGCAATTGGATGTTGGAACCTATGGAATGCTTGAAAGATAAAAGGGGGAGAAAATTAATAGTGCTGCAGGACGGAGGCTAGGGGTGGATCCATGACAACCTTAAGGTGATCCTTATCTACTGTTCTTAGCTAAAGGATCAAGTATTGTGAATGTGCGGGATAGTGGGGCAATAGCTGAAAGTTTTTTCATGATCAGTTTCGTGATTGATAAAGATTATGCAATAGATGGCGGAAAGTTCGACACGGGTACAGTGCCGACACACTGGAT